AATATTTTTATATTATATAAAAAAAAAAACCACTTAAAAGTATGTGTGGTAATAACAAGTAATATAGATTTGAGGTCGTATATGGTAAGTACTACTCTTTTCATTCTATTTTAGATATATAATAATAAGTGAAATTTTTTTAAAAAACCTAAATTAATTAAAATGGAAAAAAAAAAAATAAAATTTTTTTATGAAATAAAATTACTTAACAAGAACTATAAATATATAAAATAAATCATTATTCACACTATAACAATTAAAAATTAAATCATCATTCACACTATAACAACTAAATTGAAAGGGAGGGAATAATAACAAACTAATCATGATGAACAACTTTATGAGATTCTTCAGTCTAATAATCCCTCTCTTTTTTCTCAAAGGATAAATAATAAGATACAGAAAAAGCAGAAAATTTTTAATTTGAAAATCCAATGAAACTTAACATTTTTTATTCCTACTTTTGCTCTAAGAGCATTGCAATACTCTAATCTTCAGCACAACCGTTGGGATCAGTACCTTATGATCAAATGCTTTATAAGGTTAAAAATAAAATTTCCAAAGATCTCGAGTTACTCTTAAATAAAATTTTAAATTCAAGTTTTATAAATTAAAAAATAAATTTTGGGAGAATATTTTCTTGTATGGGGTTTAATTTCACTCGATTTTAAATTAAAGTCTAATATAATTTTTAAATATTAAGAGATTAGTAAAAAAAAAAAATTCAAGTATTTATAAACTTTTCTGAAAGAGAAATATGGATTTACACAAAATACATGGTAATGAATAACGATCATTGTTTAATTGTTATGCTGTGGCAGTCTTCCACGTGACCCACAGGTCTCATAGACCCTTTAGTCTATATTTGTCATCTAGAAGTCTCTTGGATTTCATTGATCTTAGAAGTTTACCAACATTAACCTCTTTTGGGAAGAATAAATCTTCCGCAGTTTCTAGTCTTTTCGAAGGTTAACATATCCTTTATTTTAAAGTAATTATTATTATTTTTCGTTTTAAATTTCTTCTAAGTTAATTGTCATTTTTACATTTTTAGGATAACTAAATATTTTTTTTCCTACTTAAACCTTATTATTATCCATTTATTCTAATTAATTATCATGCCATAAAAGTATCTCTTTATTATTTAATTTTTTCTTAAAAATAATATAGATAAATACATAAATTCATAAGTTGAGAAAAAAAATAAAAAATAAAAAGTAATTTTGAGATAAAGTGAGTAATAATTTGATATGGTACACAAGTAAAGGTAAAAGATTATGAATTTAAATCACATAATTTATGAATGAAATGTATTAAAGAATAAATGAAAGTAACCTCTATTATGTAACCCTAGATCAAAATAGAAAGTTGAGTTTTTCTATCTTATACGTGCACAAGTTAAGGATGCACTTAATAATGTTGTACTTTTTTATATTAATTAGTATTAAAAAATAAAAATTGACCTTTATTTAAATAACTATGCAACTAAAATAATTCACATAATACTAGTAATGAAATTAATGATAATTTTTATATTTCTAACACAAATTAATGTGATAATAGTGCAATAATTACACTCTTAACCTGCCCTCTAAATGCACATGTTAAATAAACCTAATAAGTTTTTGAAAAAGATTGACTTAATTTGAGTTTTTATAATAAAAAAAATGTTGTATAATCTAATTATATCATATCATATTTAATTGCACAATTTAAATTATTAAATAAAAGTCGACTCATTGATATTATAAATTTTCTCATTTAGTTCTTATTTGACAATATGGTACAATTCAAGAGAATATTGCAGAAGTTAGGCAAACAAGAACAGTGAAAGAATTAATACTCTTGCCTAACAATATGATTGCATGCATAGTGGCTTACACTGCAATATCACTATAGGATGTGCTTCACACATGCATTGTACAAATAGCAGAAAGACTCAGTAATAGTTTTTCTTTTTATAACCCATATTCATATATGTTTTCCTAAAGGTCTTAACAGATGTAACAGACAAAGCTGCCTTCTTTCCCTTTCATGTGAGATAAAATGGAAAAGTAGAGCCAATTAGAAGCTTTTTTTTTTTAAAAGGATATCGAATCTAGGCCCAAACCAGAATTCCACAGATTTTTTTTCTTAGATTGATAGATAATATAGCCCTCTTATTTCTCAAATCCCTTCCACCCGTTTTAAGATATGAATTTTAGACCTTTAACTTGTAATTTCAAATTCTACCAGCTGAGACGTCTCTTTTGGGGCCGATTTTTTTTTTTTTTTTTTTTCAGTCCCTTCACCCAAAACATTTCAGATATATTAACCCCATATCTACAATAATCATTCACTTCCAATGACCATGCCACTAAAAAAGTTTCCTCCTAGATTGTTTACATGGTTTCCTCTCTAACATAAGCTCATTGATTGGGAAACTTTGCTTTGAAGGTTCCCCTTGTTTCACTTTTTCTTGTCATCCAATGCTGGAACATAATTATCATTAGGCATTTCTAATGGGAGAATTCTTGACCTGATTGGTAGCTAGGAAAATGGGGTATGAGACTAGCAAAAATGGAATCTCATATCATCGATCCAAAGCTAGGAATATTTGTTAGAAATTATATTCCAGAATGTCTGTTTCTTTCTCTATCCCTTACTTTCTTGGCAAATTAGAAAAGTTCTTTGATCCAAAACTTCACGGTCAACTTGGTTTCCCATATAATGTTTCACTTTCTAGTAACATTACTAGTGGGTAGTACAACAGCACAAACATGAGTGAGCAACAACTGTTACAAGGTCACATTATAGAATGGGTACTGAGTCGATCTCCACGTTCAGGTTAATTAGGTGGTCTACTATTACAATATACCTGCTATAAGCTGTGGTCTTGATTTCAAACCCCAACCCCATCCCCTTGCCCCCTTTGGATGGTAGTACTTGGTAATTTCCTTGTTTCAAAGATAATAAAATAAAATAAAATAAAGAAGAACGGGTACTGAATCATCATGAGCTGATTTCATAATTTTGCCTGTTCAAAGATGCCTAGCTCTAACAATCCTTGGTTGCAGGAGTCAAGCTCTAACAGTTAGGTATAACATTGTTTGAGCCTAAGAATGTGCTGGCTCCTTCAACAAGCTGGAAAATATCATTGAAAGAAAGCAAAAAGCAAAGCTACATTGATGGTTCATCATACTGAACAAGCAAATGGTGTGGACAAAATGAGCAAACTTTATCATTAAAGAAAAGTCGAAAACAACTGTAAATGTGTAACACATACTACAAGCAAATGCTGAACAACTACAAGAATTATTGTTTTTTTTTCAAACTTGTAGGAATAGTGAAAAAAAGGGGAAGGAATTGCAGCTTTATAGTGAACTGTGTAATCAGGCAACTCCCTTGAGTTTCTTTGTAATGCTGCCAACGCAAGCTCGGTTAGCTGTCTTGATCCATCTTCAGCATAAGTTCCAGCAACATGGGGACTTCCACGTTTCAACTCCCTTGAGTTTCTTTGTAATGCTGGCAATGGACTTCCCATGGTCGAAAGCCTGCACCAACTCAAGGTCAGTTGCCTGTCCTGATTCAGCTCCAGCATAAGTTCCAGCACCAAAGGTGTTTTTAAAAGGAACAAATATCATTCCGTGGTGAACAAGCTGAGTGATTGCAGTCAACCTAAGATAAATAAAAAATTTTGAGGTACAAGTGAGAAACTTTTCGTCTTTGGGTTCAAGTGTTGTAGCATCTTAAGTTTAGAAGAAGGATAAAGGAACTCACGCGGTTGTCTCCTGACCACCCCCTTCAGATCCAGTGCTATAGAAGATACCAGCAGGCTTCCCTGCAAGTTGTAGTGTGCTCCCAAAACCTCCAGTTGCATCCAAAAATGCTTTAAACTGAGCAGCCATCATTCCAGATCTTGTTGGGAAGCCAAAAACAAACCCGTCAGCCTTGGCAAGTTCGGGAGGTTTAATAACTGGTACATCACTCTTTGGTGGAGCACGCATCTTACTAAGAATCTCTTTTGAAAGGGTCTCAGGGACCTGTTCCATGCACCAATTGAAGTCACTTCACTTTACCCAATTGGTTTTTCTAAGAATGCAGTTTATAATTTACTAGAGAATCATGAAAACTTTCACTTTAACAAGAATGAGCATTTAGACTTTGGCACAAAAGGTCATGGCCCATCTTTACAAATTTGCAGCAACAAAGTTGAAAATTATGCTTAAACCAAAACAACCAATCAAATTGATTTATGCTAAAAGATTGAACAGCTATGATGGTAATTTAGTGGAACAAGAAAAAAAGAAAGAAGCTTATTTGTGAGCTTATCTGTAAAGAAAAGGATGGAAAAACCATAAATCCAGATATTGTTGACTGTACTAATTGTCAATAAAATATTATCACATCTGAGAATTTTTTGCTTTTCATTTTCCTCCTTTAAATTTACAAGCAATGCAACCCAAACCTTAATTTTCAAGTTTGTTGAGCCCCCAAAGTAGTAAGTATTAACTCCATTTGGGTTAAATTTTCCTAAATTTTCATTAAAGGCTTTGTGTTTCCAATTATGAAAATAAGTGGACTGTTCTCAGATGAAATTGAAGAAACTGAAATGATATGGACATGTTTAAGATTTTAGTTCATACCCTGATGGAAAATATAGCTTTCAAGTAGGAATATAGGATAAAATGGTGACTTGGCTCCAGATCACTTAAAATCAAGAGTTACAGACAGATTATCAACCTTGAAACTTCTTAAATTCTCTAAAAGACTAATTGTTCTGAAAATTGAAGGGGTTGTCTTACCCATCCAAATTAACTCACCTTCTGTTTGCAGCACGTTTATATATATATATCAATCAATACATGACAAGCCACTAGTAATGTTGGTAGACCATAAAACATAGCAGCATGCCATGAAAAAATAATTTGCACTCACCTGCCATAATTTGGCTTCAACACCTTCAACAGATGCAGCTCCTTTCTTAA